ATTCTCATTATTGATCTGTTTCACAGATAAAATGTTCTTTGTACAATGAAAATCAAAGCCGGCACAGTGGCTCACGCCTGTAATCCCAGCGCTTTGGGAGGCCAAGATGGGTGGATCACCTGAGGTCAGGAGCTCAAGACCAGCCTGGCCAACATGGTAAAACCCCATCTCTACTAAAAATACAAAAGATTAGCTAGGCGTGGTGGTGTATGCCTGTAATCCCAACAAGTGGTAAGGCTGAGGCAGCAGGAGAATCGCTTGAACCCAGGAGACAGAGGTTGCAGTGATCTGAGATCATGCCACTGCACACTCTGTGCCTCAGTTAAAAAGAAAGAAAAGAAAGAAAGAAAGAAAGAAAGAAAGAAAGAGAGAGAGAGAGAGAGAGAGAGAGAAAGAAAGAAAGAAAGAAAGAAAGAAAGAAAGAAAGAAAGAAAGAAAGAAAGAAAGAAAGAAAGAGAAAGAAAGAAAGAGGGAAAAGAAAATCCAGTGAGTTTGAATTGATTCCATAGGAGTACTGTATCTTAAATGTTCCTTTATTGTATAGAGAAAAACAGTGACAAAGTCAAGAGATTAAGAGTAATATTCAAAATTTAACAATGTACAGGCCAGATGAGAAAATAACATAAATCTTCCAGTAGATATTAAAGTCAACTATTTAGTAATATGAAGTTTGCTGTGATCTGCCCTGATTCTTCTCACCCACCCCATAGCCATCCACAGCATTTCTGCCATGATCGACTATAAAAGTTTGAAAAATAGACAAGACCATTTAACTTGGTTTTATTCTCCTGATGTTGTGACTTCGTTTTATAGAACAATGAGGAAGAGAAATGTATTATTAGGAAAAGAGCAGCCAGAGCCCTTTTGATGTTGCCTTACTGTGACCATTTTCCAATAAGCTAGCACTGCATTCAGCCCTCGGGCCCCACTGAGTGTGGAAATTGCTTCAGGAGAACTATGCCTAGGATTGGATTGGGTCAACGGGCAGAAGAATTGGTCTCATGTTGGTGAAGTTCGGTGCAATTTATGCTGCAGTGCCAAATTTGTGGAGATAAATTAGTCGATTAGCCACTGGTGATAAGGTTGATTGTTGAACAGCAAAAGTGAGAATAATGCATTCACTTTGGAACATCGTCAGAGCAAAGACAAAATGACCTAGCTCTTATCAGTGGTTTCGCCACAAATCAATCACTAGCTCATCATAGGCCACTATCTTCTCAATATAAGCTTTACAAAAAAATCTACAGCTAATATCACGTGCTGTCCCCTGAGACTGTTATACAGGCTGGAAAGGAAATTTTTTTATTTCCAAAGGACATGATTGTGTACCTACAAAAATCCAGAAGACATAAACAAATGAGTAGAATTTGGATTAATTTAGTAAAGTCACTGGATACAATATCAATATATAAAAATCAACTGCATTTTACCTACTAGCATGAAATAAATAGAACATAATTTAGTGTCATGTAACAATATTAATACATACATTAATTATATGTGATATGTATTTATGCACTCTATATACTGTACTTATATCTATATATCTTACCTAGGAATAAAGTGTAATATATATATTTGGGAGCTGTATGTCCAAATTAAAATAAACACACATAGATGAGCGTGGGGAGAGACAGAGACATGAATGTGGCAGAATGTTAACTGGTGAATTTAGGTAAAAGGTACAAAGCAGTTATCATCCTCTTTTTTTGAGATCTGGGTAGGCTCGAAATTTTCAAAATGAAAAGTCAGAGGACATGCTGGTAAAGTTAAGGTTTAAGGAGTTAAATAACTTGCCATGCTTCACAAAACAATTAGAAGGACCAGAAATACCCCAGCCCCTCCGTTTTGACATGCTTCTCAAGGTTCTCTTCACCTTGCTTTTCAATTAGGCCTTTTTCCAGAATGCACACGAGGGAGGGATGTCAGCCCTAGACTCGGCTCTTCATATTTCAGTTGTTACTATTTAAATAGTGGCATGCATTTATTTCTGTGGTATACTCTACTCTGTTGTCCTTGGCGTTTATTAGCTATTGCTGTTCCTCTAGGGCTCAATCGTCTTTTTTATAAGCATAATCGTGTTGTCCGCAATTGAATTGGAACCTGTTTCCCAAATGTATTACTCTTATCAGTTTCATCCAAAAACTGGAAGGCAGAGGCGTCCTGGCAAGTCACAGAGCTCTGCCAGGCACCACTTGGCTGTGCTGCAGCAGGTGAAATCCAGGGTCTGATAAGAGATCCTTGATCTCACCCTCTAGCACTTAGGATCCAGCAGTATATAACATTTCCATATTTTTTATTAAGTAAACCTCTTAGCAAGCTCTGTTTCATGCAAAAATGCCAACTCTTTTTGAGAAACCCCTCTCTTTTACAATACAGAAGCCATGTGGTTGGCATTTTTTTAAATTGTAAGAAAACAGTGGAGTTTCTGTGCAGCATAACGGCAATGCAAGGAAATAGAATCACCAGATGCTTGATTTTGCTTTGTAACGCTATGTTGGTATAAGATCCATATGGTCAAAATTTTTCATATCCTTCATGAAAATTTTAACTTTACTTTTTAAAATGTGTCCTTATTTCTTTTGTTCTGATAATAAATTAGGAAAGACCTTTGGGTCTTCACTTAACTGGTCTATCAGAAATTTTCTGAAGTCTCAGGAGTGTTAAGTGTCTGACTGCTTAGCTCACTTTCTAGACAGAAGTCTCTCTGTGTGTGTGTGTGTGTGTGTGTGTGTGTGTGTGTGTGTGTGTCTCTCTCTCTCTCACACACACACACACACACACACATACCCCACATGTACACACAACTTACTGTTTAAATGACCTACTGTCTGTATTCCAGGGAAGTACTCTTCCTGAATGCTATAATGAGAAGCCACATAGTAAGGCAGTTAACAGATCAAACTGGGTGGAACCCTGACTCTGCTCCTTTCTATCTGCATCAATTAGGGTAAATGACATTATAGCCATGAACCTCGATTTCCCCATCTGCAAAATGAACGTAAACACGTAGCACACAGCATGAGAGAAAGGAATATAGATAATGTATATAAAGCAACTAGTATAAAGTAATGAGGCTTGTAACTAACAACATAGTTACTATTTTATTATGGTTTTCTAATTAAAAATATTTGAAACGAATTAATAATATCCATGGTTTCTACCAAGTGAAGAGGTGGATTGTTCATCAATAATTAATGTATTATGTACTGGAACCCAAAATGTAGACAAACCCCAATAGATTTTATCAGTTTGTCACACTCCTTAAATTTTTTAAATGGCAACTATGTCTAATGAAAATATTTGATAAGACTTGATCAGATTTACAGTTTAATCAATGAATAAAATATTTGGTTATCTATCATCTACATGTAGACAGTGGTGAAAGGTTTCATTGATGGTTCTATTTAACTATTGGACATCCCAGAAATTCTCATCAAAAGATACTCAATAGGCTGGGCTCAGTGGCTGATGCCTGTAATCCCAGCACTTTGGGAGGTCAAGGCAGGCAGATCACCTGAAGTGAGGAGTTGAAGACCAGCCTAGCCAATATGGTGGAACCCTGTCTCTACTAAAAATACAAAACTTAGCTGGGCGTGCTGGCAGGTGCCTGTAAGCCTGGCTACTCAGGAGGCTGAGGCAGGAGAATTGCTTGAACCCAGGAGGTTGCAATGAACTGAGATCGCGCCACTGCACTCCAGCCTGGGTAACAGAATGAGGCTCCGTCTCAAAGAATAAAAATAAAAATACTCAATAAAATGCAGATCTTTGGGTCCATCCTGAGAAGTCCTAAATTAGAATCCCTAAGGAAGAGGGCTGGGAATTTGCATGTCCACAAGCGCTCCAGGAAATGTTCTTGTACATTGCACTTTGATAATCATTGCTTTATTGTAAAACAAAGAATAAACCCTGTAGTCCTTACTTTCTTATGTTCTTACATCATCCCAAACAGAGATACTGTGATAAAAATACGTGTGTTCAGGCATCAGTTACTGGAAAGAAACCAGATGGGAAAAGCACAAGTGTAAAGTTGTGATCTCAACTCTAAAGTTAGAAGGGCCAGCTTGGCCTGAAAACGGGGAGAAGTTCAGCCAAGTTGATAAAATCGTTAACTCTATCCTGCGAATATTATGACAAGAAGACAAACACACCCACATGGGTCTAGCCTCACTGAACATTCTTAACTCTCAGTGTATTCACTCAGTGGATTAATCTAAATGTGGCTTAGGAAGATTTTTACATATTGAGCCTCTGGTCATCATCTGGCATAAGACTTTTCTCTTCTCCTTACAGCACTTACTACATACATAGATTTTTTTTATTACAGACATATTACAGTTGGGTGTTGGTTTCCTGACCGCCCCGCAATGTGAGACCATCAATTCTATCACAGCAGGCGCATGTGTCTTTGGATCCAGATACAAAACCAGCCAACTGGTTGCCCACAGTAGATAATAGATACTGTTGAGTGAATAAAATAAATGCCTTTAAACTTGGAAATGTTTATCGGTGCTTAGTCAGAAAGTTGTCATTTTTTTTCTCTACATGATTTTTTTTCATTTAAGACTATCATAAAACAGCATCTCTACATTTTTTTTTTAGAGTATCACGAATAAGAAAGCCCAGTAGCATACTGAGAAGAGCATGGGCTTTTGAAGTAAGAAGTTGTAAATTTTAATTTCATTTCTATTGCTCTCTTGCCATGGGACTCAGAGACAAGCTATTTAATCCCTCCTTCTCTCTATTTCTTCTTCTCATGAAGCTTTTCTAAGCACATAGAATCCAAATAAGTAGGATAAATAGGAATATCTTCCAAGTTCAAAAGGTTGTGAAAACACAGGCAGTGTAAAGCAGCAGCAGAATTTTACCAGTTGTAAGACATCTACAAGGTGTCATTCTTCTCCCAGCCGTTCTTTACACTCAGAATGACTTTCATGGTAAATTTCAATCCAACCAGCATGTAATTTTACGAACCTTATAGATAAGCAATAAGTACTTACAGAGTGTTCAAATTCTTGAGTTTCTTGAAGGCGCTCCCTGGAATTTCTCTTATTCTGTTAAACCTCAAGTCTCTAGGAACATAAGAAAGTGAAGAGCAATTATAATATGTTGACTGTGTTCTGCCATTATTTCCAGAAGCTTGAAAGTTCATTCTCCTTTTATGATCGAGCATGCAGTGCTGGAGGACTCAATATAAAGGAGACAGAACTAGTACACATCATACACTCATCATTAGGGAAGTCCACTGTCTACAGCCAATTATGCCTCTCTGGGGCCATATACCACTCCCAAGATGCCAGACATGGCTCCTTATAGAACTCTGCAAAATATTAAAGACAGTTACACTATTTATTTTAGGTTTTATTTGTATGCTAGTAAAACAAATTTCATACATGGCAACATGCCAATTGAGTACATTTAGTTTGGAAAATCATATTGATATATTAGATGCCACATTATCAACTCAACTCAGCACTACTGCTTGAATTTAGCCAAAATGATTAATTACTTAATTATTCTTCACAGTACAGGAATACAATGGCCCTCTACAAAGTATTAAATCAACAGAATAATTAGTTTGAGAGTATCATTACTCCACAACCAACATTCTCTTGTATGAATTCACATCTTTCTTTCTTCAGCATGTGAATAATTGAGTGTCAGCCACCTATCATGTTAAGTAATAAGGATGCCAAGATAAGGAAGATCGGGTCCTGGGCACAGATAGTTCAGTAGGGGGGACGATAAGCAAGTTATTACAGGATTAGGGTGTAGAGTGTTTGTGATGCAACAGAGGAGCAAGCAAATGCCATACACACTTGGCAGACGTGGGGACTGCTCTGTCTAGAGCCCCTCTATCAGTTGGAAAACCAGGCATGTGATTACCCCACTGCATGTGATTACGGTAGAGATGTCAAGCAGGGGCCTCTTCCTGCTTGGAACAGGATGGTTAACTGGAGGCAGCATAACCATGGACATACTGTTTCTTCCATGGGGAACATATGACCCAAGCAAGGCCAGCTGGAGATGTCCTCAAGCACTGACTGACAGGGCTGCTAAATAAAACAGGGGTTCAGAGTTCTAAGGAAAAGGAGCATGTGGGGCCACTCACTCATCTTGCCCACACTAGAAAGCACCAGGCTAGGAAGAAAGCCCAGCAGAAACACATAGGGCCAATATAGGAAACAAAAGAAACAAAGCCCTGGACCCAGGATGGCCGGAGACCAAATTTACTCCTTCACCTTCCAGATCCCTGACACCAGAAACTGTCATTTTGTTAAACTAATTCGAGCTGAATTTCTATCTCTAATGCAAGCAGTAAGAAGAAAGATGAAGTGATTTGTTTGGAAATGTGAGGCCCAAGGAGAAGTGTATCAGGGAAATTTTATAGGCTACTAGAATGTCAATAATAGACTAAGATGAAAAAAAAACTATCTTTACTTCCTCTCAATGAATTTCTCAAAATGAAATCCTTCACCACCATAAAAAGTTGTTCCATCTTAGAATACCTGACTCACAAATCTTTATGAGAGCACCTTAAAATCCTATCATTTCATGTTTCTCTAGACTTTGGCCAAATGAGCATAATTTTATAGAAGCTGTTATTTTCAATTACATTATTAAATAACTCAGTGACTATACCTCCTTGCTAAATGGAATGCACCGCTTATATACCATGCATTGCTGTTTGGCATGTCTAGACTATATTGGTAAAGGAAACTAAGTTATATGAGATTCTCCCTATAAACATACAAGGCATTAAGTTATATAGGCCCAAATACCCTGGAAACCACTGGTTTCTCTTAAAAACAGAAGCTAAACATTGGTGGTTATAAAAAGGGTTTTCCTCTTGCATTAAACAATAATCCTAATAAGTCTCCCAAAATGAGATTCCCACAATACAAGAAGGAAGCAAATATAAAAAGATAAACTATTTTCCTTATCTTAGGCTTTGAAATTTCTGAAAAATTCAGAAAAGTACTAATGAGAAAATAATAATTCTTACTGTCTACATCCAGAATTAACTACTATTAATATTTACACCCTGATATAGATGCTTCTACTCATAATTCCACATGCGTGTATTTTTACTACACAAATTATATATAAAAACATGCTGTAGATAAAATGAACATCTTTTAAGCACCATTTTAATTTTAGCTTTGCCTCTCACTCCAGATGTAAACACTCGTGTTTGACACTCTTCTTCAGATGTACATTTGTATGTATGTGAATGATTATAAGATGAAATGTAAACATATATAAGATGAAATGTAAACAAATGTGACGTGATGGGATTATGTCCTGATAAATCCACTGTAAGTTGAAAATATTGTAAGACAAAAATCCATAATATAACCAAACTGCCAAAATCATAGCTTAGCCCAGCCTACCTTCACTATGCTCAGGACACTTGCACTCGCCTGCAGCTGGGCAAAATTATCTAACACATACCCTATTTTCTAATAAATGTAGACTATCTCATGCCATTGCTCACTATTGTACATTACAACAAAATCGCAATCTTTTCACAACATGGTAAAGTCAAAAATCATAAGTTGCATCATCGTTAAGTCAAAAACTGACTATACATGAAAATAAACATAATATATGAGCAGATATAAAACATTTTGTGCTTTCAGATTTACAAAATAGCTATCAAATGTTATATGGATGTTAAAACTTCCCTTTTTGCTTCCACTACATATTTGCTATGTTGTTACTTGTCTACACATAGAGGACTGAGCATTTTTGTCTACCTTCTCTACAGTACCCTACGCTGCAGACAGACCACACGGTTCCTTTATAGATTCCTTCACTGACAGGCATTTTGATTGTTCCCAAATTTTTGCAACATTACTTACTAACAATATTGCAATAAATATGCATGCATGTCTCCTTGTACTTTTGAAGAAATGTTTGTCTAGGCTAAATATTTGGAATTGGGATTAGTATGTACATCTTCAGTTTTACAAAATGATGCCATTGCAAATTATTTTCAGCCACATGTATTATAATGGTAATATAATTGAAAATAACGTGAAAAGATGCTGGAGCTTATCACCAATATATATTTATATATATGTTTCAATTATATATATTGACATTTGAAGGAAAAAATATATGTATATGAAAGAATGGATTTCTAATATATATATATATATTTTGTATAATATATTTATACATGATAAACTTATATTTATATATAAGTTTAAATCGTAAATTTAAACATCACTGGATTGATTTGAAAGCCAAGGTGCCATATATATATATATATATATATATGCCACACATACACACATACATATGTGACATATATATATATATATATATATGTCACATATATATGGCACCTTGGCTTTCAAATCAATCCAGATAGATAGATAGATTGATTGATAACAGATATATATATGTGTATATATATATCTGTTATCAGAATTCCCTCCTTGTTTTCTCCACAAGTAAGCAGACATAAGCTCTTCCCCTAGAAAGACACATTTCGCTTGTAAGCTGGTGCCATAGTAAGGTCTCCAAGGTACTCAGGCTCACTCAGTGGACTATGAGACTCTGACCACTGACTTTGGCCACACCCTGTTCTCACCACTGAGGCATGCTCAGGGAATGCCTGCGAAGCTGAGTGTGGGCTGGAGTGGGTGCAGTAGCTCATGCCTGTAACCCCAGTGATTTAGGAGGCTGAGGAAGGAGGATCCTTTCAGCCCAGGAGTTTGAGACAGCCTGGGTTACATGGCAAGACCTCATCTCTAAAAAAAAAAAAAAAAAACAGAAATTAGCCAGACATGATGGTGCACATCTGTGGTTGCAGCTACTTAGGAGCCTGAGGTGGGTGGATCACTTCCCAGGAGGTCAAAGCTATAATGAGCCGTGATCGCACCATGGCACTCCAGCCTGGGCCACCAGAGTGAGACCTTGCCTCAAAAAAATAAAAAAAAAAGTATGGTTGGACACCCAAAGAGTTTCTCCAGATTGACTTAAATCCCAATAAGTCATATTGAAATATACGAAAATGAGTATGTTAGCACTCGATCCTCTCTGGCTGGTATATTCAGGCACATAAATTTTTATAGGTACATACATTATAAACTGAAATTCTAGGAAAAGATATCCCTTCTTAATATGAATCCCAGGTCTTTAGGATTGCATACAGGGCCTTGTACAACGTATTACCTATTGTAGGGTAAGTATATTTCTGAAAATTAGATTATTTAAATTCAAATGGCCACAGAATTTGGATCATGCTACTTTCTGTGTATGTATGTACGTTTACCCAGAAATAAAATCACTTCCCATAATGCCTCTATTTCACTCAAGATCGGTCACTAGAAATTTCATTGATACAAAACTTGTCGTTCATATAAAACTTCCCTTAGCATAAAATTTAGAATTGTATTTTCACTCCTTACATAGAGTGAAAATTGAATTATTATATCTCCTTCATCCCATTGTAATATACATAATATTGATAAAGTAATATTCATGATAATAACAACCCCCGTGTAAAACGATGTTCATCCCATTCATTGTTCGTTGGAACTCAGTTCAGAAGCAGTCCTACTCACTGTACCAAGATAAAAGTTGGCCACATGGAAATTACTAGAAGCAGTTAGACAAGTCTGTCCATCTGTCTTCCCCTACTCTCCCCAGCACAAGCCAATGAAGCTGGGGAAGTAGTACTTAATGCTCTTCTGCACAAGCAATTTGGAATCAACATTTTTAACCAATAAGACGTCAGTTTCTAGCTCAAATTCAATTCAGAAATTCCTGCTACCAAAACGCGATGAAAATGACTCCTGATGGCAGATTGAGGGTGAAGAAAAGGGATGGACAGAGAGCCTCATGAACTAGCTCCAAATGAACCATCATAGCTCCAGGTCACGCCATTTGGTCCCCTAGTTAACAGTGCACACCAGACCCTCATCACAGCACATTACGCCTCCTCTCAGTGGGTTTCACAGAGTTACATCACGTGGTTGTGCAGAAATGTGCAGAGAAAGACCCCGCAGAGCGACAGAGAAGCCTAGACTATATCCTGAAGATTCCAGTGGAGTTTAGG